AGTCGATGTGGATGTTCGGTAGAACGTCCGTCAACATGAGCGATAATAAAAGTCCCAATAAAAAGCCAGAAAGAAGGCGAGGTCGTTGTTGGAACGAAAGTTACATTCATCTGATAGTGCAAAACCATCTTCGGAGGTCACAACAGGTAAAGACACTGCTTGCGCAACCTCTGCTACTATACCGCCAGGCACACATAGCGTCGTTAGCGCTGTCGGCAGATGGCTGAATTGTGAGGCAATTATTTTTCTATTGCCAGCAGCCGAGTGGTTAATAGCTGGGATTTCATCGTTGGCTATTTGTGCGATCATTACTCCGCATTTTGGTTCACCGCGAGCGCCTCTAGGAACAGTGTTTGCGCACGCCCCTAGTAGCTAATTATTCTCTCTAGACAGTTCTAAGCGCACACAGAGTACGGGAGAGGGTCGTTGCGTCTGCTAATCGTCCACGTACGAGAGGACCATAATAAAAACGTACTGCTGCGCTCGCGGTTGTCAATTTTTGGGAGAATTTCAACTCTGAATGCGCAAACAGACGCTGTTGAATGAACCATGGCAATTAGCGTCTCATCTCTAGACTAGCAAGCAAGCAGTCAGAGAGCTAAGTGTAGTCACATGTGCTAAATTCGAAAGCAGCTACGTGGGACGGATATAAAGTGGAATAGTTGCAGCGTCGCACAAATGCTGCAATCCTGCGCATGCTTGAACGTTATTCGAAGTTCATAGGTGTTTTGGAAGCTTTTGAATAATTCATATTGACCCAACTGTGAGAAACTCGGCGCCTCTGCGGGATTCAAACCCAGGCAGTAAGGAGAAGGCTTTAGTACAGCCAACACTCTAACCACTTGAGCTACGAGGCCCCACCTGACGACGCAAGTTTAATCACATTTGGGTCGAGTTACCCACTCAACCAACTGCAACGTCTGGAATCCACCAAATGTGATACAGTAAGTTGACTACGCAAGCAGGATTTCCTAAGTAATTGACCTAGACTCCACCAGATGTCTACCAGGAACACGCAATTCATAGATGTTTTGGCCGATTTTCAATAAATCCTATTAACCCAACTGTGAAAACCTCGACGCCGCAGTGGGATTCGAACTCACGCAGTAAGTTGAGGGCTGTAGTATAGCCAACGCCCTAACCAATTGGGCTACAAGGCCCTGCCAAATCTGCCAAAAATCTATGAATTACGCGTGCCTGATAGTCATCTGGTGGAGTCTAGGTTAATTACTTAGGAAATCCTGCTTGGGTAGTCAACTTACTGTATCACATTTGGTGGATTCAAGACGTTGCTGTTGGTTGAGTGGGTAACTCGACCCAAATGTGATTAAACTTGCGTCGTCCGGTGGGGCCTCGTAGCTCAAGTAGTTAGACTGTTGGCTGTACTAAAGCCTTCCACTTACTGCCTGGGTTTGAATCCCACCGAGGCGCCGCGTTTTTTACAGTTGGGTCAATATAAAGTATTCAAAATCTGTCAAAAAGTCTATGAATTTCGTGTGCCTGATAGTCGTCTGGTGGATTCTAGGTTAATTACTTAGGATATCTTGTTTGGGTAGCCAACTTACTGTATCAAATTTGGTGGATTCCAGACGTTGCAGTAGGTTGGGCCTCTTAGCTCAGCTGGTTAGAGTGTTAGCTATAAAAAGGCCTTCCCCTTACTGCGTGAGTTCGAATCCCACTGCGGCGTCGAGTTATTCACAGTTGGGTCAATATGGGTTATTGAAAATCTGCCAAAACTTCTATGAATTGCATGTTCCTGGTAGTCATCTGGTGGATTCTAGGTTAATTACTTAGGAAATCCTGCTTGGGTAGTCAACTTACTGTATCAGACTCGATTAGGATCCTGAAACGTTTGGCAAAGAAAGCTCTTGTTCCAGCTTTCGTGTCCTCTTAATAGGAAGAAGATGTGCATTTACGCAAAAGAGACTACTTAACTTATTCCTTCATAAAACTTCTTGCAGTTTTCGGTATCCGTTTCTTCTACCCATCTTCAGAGACTGAGCAGTCATGCACACAGCTTTCCTTTTCTGGTGCACTTTGATGCCTGGACCACCAATGCCGCCTGTGTGGCTGCATCCGACCCGCATGTCACCCTGACCTGAATCCCGCCCATCTTCGTCGGCCGCGGCGATAATTGACGGCCCCGATTGCCCCGCGCCGTGACTGTCCCCCGTCAAGAATGTCCGTAAACCCAGATAAGGGGGAGGCAGATTGATGTGGCGGTTGACAGAACAGTCGGTAGACATCCAGGCTACTTGCACCTGCCTTGCCGTATGATCATCACCTCGGCCCACAATTCCAACGGCGTCAAAGTTGAAGACGTGTCCTATTTGGGCGGTATGGGTTGCTACCTCCGACTTTGGGTCCAATCTTCGCACGGCCAACTTATGCTCGTGCATGCGCATTTGCAGCCGTGGGCCGGTTTCCCCAACGTAGTTACACATTCCGCAGCTGCACTGAAGTCGGTAGACAACAGCCGGCATCTCCTGCTTAGGGATTGGATCTTTTGGCCGCATCACTTGCCGGCGAATTGTTGAGTCGGGCCTGTGGGCAACGCGTATTCCGAGCGGCGGGGGAGGGGCGGGATCGGGCTACGGCTTCGAGATCCCTTTCATGTATGAAATGCTCCGCCACGATTTTGGCTGACTAGGTTCTTCATTCCGCTTCCTTAGTTGCTGTCGGCTCTGTTCAACGAATGTTCGCAAATAGCCGTTGGCTATGAGCAGTTCTTGGAGGAGATTCATCTCGTCCAGTTTGGCAACTGGAGAGCTGCAATGAGTTTCCACCCGTCGTTATAGCGTGCATACACAGCTTCGTTTGTGTGCAATGAGTGGTTGGGTCACAGTTGGATCAATATGAGTTACCAGCTGTCTCTGATTCTGGACTCGATTAGCAGCCTGAAACGTTCGGCAAAGAAAGCTCTTGTTCCAACTATCGTGTCCTCTCGCTTGAGAACGAAGATGTGTATTTACACAAAAGGGACTACTTAACTTATTCCTGGCTTAAAACTTCTTGCAGTCTTGTGATAACCCACTACGATCTCTGGAATACCCCCAGACGCACAGCCAATTGTATAACATTGTCTGCCTGCAGTCATATCTACAAAACCTAACGCAATGCCTAGCACTTGCGGATATTCTCAAATAAACGCACATATCTTCGGTTATTCCGGGAGCAGAAGCCCGAAATCACACAGTTAGTGCCCTTTGTCAACCCCGAATACTTTGCAACCAGCACTACCTAGAGATCCGCGGCGGCTCTTTGAAGTGCCAAAGTCCCCTCTGTTTGAATATTGACTTATGCGCTAGAGCGTTTGATGCAAATCTACCAAACATAGGGTCTGAATTCACACCAACACTAAGCAATTTTATATTCTAGTGGTGGATTTCATACTTTGTACCAAAGTGGACGGGATAACTGACCCAAATGTGATCAAACTCACACCTTCCAGTTGAGTCCCGTAGGTTAAGTTCTTAAAGCGTGGGCTGCACTCGAGATGTTCCCTTGCTGTCGTGGGTTCCAATCCCACCAAGGTTGTCAAACGTTTTACAACTGGATGAAAATAATATCCCCTATCACTGAGGCTGAAAACAGATGAATATGTCAAGACCGAAACATTTCCAAAACTAAAATCCAGTTGGATGCGAAATTACCAGACAGAGGGTCTAAATTTACACCAACACTGAATAATTTTTTCCGATGGAGGCGAAAAGGCGAGTTCCATGGAACAGTTCAGAAGAAGAAGACAAGATCACTGGGACAAGTACCTTACTGGCCTGACGTTTCGGATTCTCATTCGCACCCATCATCATATACAGTTGCAGATAAACGTATTTGGAGTACAAATGCTGCAGAATTTATAGTACGTAGCTGCCGTGTGGCCATATGCGTGCTATAGTTAACAGTTCTGGCAAGAGCTGAAAACAGCGTGAGGCCCGTGCTGTTCGAATCATGGTTTGCAGGCCCTCAGTCCATCAAGAAGCGCAATTACACATCGGTACCATATTCAGTGCTAAGACATTCCCTGAGCGGGTTAATCAGTCACGTGGGGAGGGCGCGGATGCGGGTACTCAACTGCCCTGGTGTTAACGCTCGAATTGCCGAGTTGTCATCACGTCAACCTCCAACAAGGATGATCCAATTGCGGCAATTAACGACGTGGATAAGGACTGATGAGCCATCATTGCTTTAAATACGACCCCCAGCGGTGATCACGAGGACTGTGAACAATACTTCGCGTGTGGTTTCACGGCAGCCATGTACTATAAAAAATGCAGTCTTTGTGCTTTCACCAATTTTATCTGCAAACGTCTCTAATGATGGGTTCGAGCAAAAATCCGAAACGTCAGGCCAATAAACCTCTTGGTTCATTGATCGCATCATCATCATCATCATCATCATCATCATCATCATCATCATCATCATCATCATCATCATCATCATCATCATCATCATCATCATCATCATCATCATCATCATCATCTTCTTCTTCTTCTTCTTCTTCTTCAAAACTTAATAATTTTGTATTTTCATAATCTGAATTACGGTCGATTAGTACCTAGCTGCTAAACATAAGGGATATATGATGTTTTGACTGAACACCGTTAACTTATTCATGCTTAATTGATGTTGTGGCAAAGTAAAATAAGTCATCGTGCTCCTTTTTATGAGCCTCGATAGTCCCACTGAGATCCAAACCGCCCAATCGACGCTGCAACCACTAAAGTCGACGTCTGACTCCTGCTGGGGTCGCCGAACCTTTCACAACTAAGCCACATATGTGCATACTTTATTGCTATCCAGGTTTTTTAAGTAGTCGCTACCCAGGGTAGGCTGATTTCCCTGAGTTTCTTTAATGAATGTCATTATATTTACTGGATCAACGTAGAAAAAACGTGAAAAATAGACTGCGTTATTTAATTACCTAACAATACTGGGCGATAGTTATAGCAGGGCAATTATTTGCTTGTCATATCCTGTGTGTATTCTCTTAACTGCGACCCCGCTCAAACTGTGAAGAGATCTCATTTGATAAAGCAGCCTTAGCAGCTTTTCTCGACACAAGACACGATAACAGACCACTCCTCTTTTGCGGTCTTTTTGTTGACTGTATTCCTCCTTTGCGAATTCTTCATTGATAGGTGTTTAAGCAGATTTTAAATAATTACCTGATTAATCAGTAAATCCCGATTGCTCAGTCGGCCTGCTGTTTTAGATTTGGTGGATTACATACGTTGGATCAGATTGGGCGAGAAACCACACAAAAGTCTGACCAAACTCATGCGTTCCGGTTGGCTGTACGTGAGACGTTCGCTTGTTTTCTTTGGTTTGGATCAAACCAAAGTTGCCATGTTTTTCGCGTTTAGGTCAAAATAAAGTTCTAAATCAGTGAGGCCGAATACAGAACCGCATATCAGAAGTTAAACATTTCTATAGTTAAAACCCCTTTTTTCCTGAGATGACCATGCTCAGTCGCTGAATATCATTTACTTTCCGGCAACGACCAGCTATTCCAACCGCTGTATTCACAAGTCACTTCGTGGCGGGGGCTTGGTTTTAGCGTATATATTAAAAACTAAGTGAAAGCCAAATAGGAAATTGCATGTACGTTTTACGAATTTTAAGCAGGATTTTAAAATTACAGTACAATGCGAACTCGGTACGTGTGCAACATTTTTAAACGCACTTATTTCATTTTCGTGTGAGTCTTTCTTTGAAATGACACTAAACTCTTTAAAACGTAGCAAAACTACTATATTCGTACTGAAATATTGCAAGCTTTTCTTAGGTAGCATAAGATGTCTAGTAAATAGCAACTCAGCCACCTCCCGTTTGGCAACACGGGCATTTAAGCGTACATTTTCTCCCAAACATCCAAAAGGTAGCGATTAGTTGTCGGTGATTCCCCATGCGAACAATTGCAGAGTTCAAGGATAATGATGGTAGTGTAATATAATTTTTTGTAAATTAAATTTTAGATTAGAATTAGTATACGGCAAGTTCATCACCCGCACCGTAGCTTGAATGTCAAATTATAATTTCTGCCTGAGCTCGTTATATGACAAACTGAAAACGGCGTTTAAGTCAGAAATTACCATAGAAAAAAAGGTCCTCCAACACGGACTAAGAGCATGCACAGCCACCGAAAAAGACGTCGCACCAAAACGTATACGCCGGTTGTCCATGGTTGCAAAATATCAGACAAATATGAAACTTACATTTCAATCACTACGATTTAGAATTTTTATAGCAAAGAAGCACGCACCCGTTTTAAATGACCTCTGGCGTCTGTTGTGATTCATGCACTTTGTCACTCAGAACGCAGACTTTAACAAAATGAAGGCGTAATCAAAGACACAATTTTGCCTAGCTCCTGTGCAAATAAAAGTCGAAATTCCGGCATGCAGACTGACTTAATCCAGAAACCCTCCAAGACTAAAATAAACAGAGAAACCTAAACTGACTAATCCGGCAGGGATGACAGTCCCTGACCAGACTTCCCTTCCCCCATCTCCCCAACATTTGCATGACAAGCACCAGCTCGCGCCGTTGAGGTTACGCCGACGACCTTGATAAGATAACTGTCACCTTTGCAGATAGGAAAACTCTAAAAGCAGTTTTCGTGACAGCCTTAATGCCTCCGAGAGGAAAACACCGGCCGCAATCGATAAAGTTTGCAAATAGGATTAGCGTCACAAACCACCTATATTTATTCAAAAAAGAACAGCCATTGTAAACATCTCTAAGATGTGACCTAATTTTAGTAGTAGTAGGCTTAAACACTGAATCATATTCCAAGAAAGGAAATACGGACGAAAGTGCATTACGTTTGTTATCATGAACATGTTTTATGGTGTTACTTAAATCAAAATCCGCAGAATCAATAAATCACTGCACTCGAAAATATGCCATCAAGTGTAGGTTAATATTTCCAACTCACAGGCAGCTCGCCAACATTGGCTGGAATCATTTTGTAAAGTGTTCGTTATTATTTTTTGGTTTCGACACGTGTTTCTGCGTACAGAAAAGTCAGTTGTGAACATCTACGTTTACCAGATCAACACAGCTGTGGAGCCCGACGCATGCTAACTAAGCTTCCAATAAGATCTACGTCCATGGATCGTGGCAACTACTGACCCACAAATTCTGTTGATTAGCCTAAACGTTGTCAATATAGTTATATAGTTATACCTATATATGAGAATACGTGATTGTTCCCGCAATTTTTTTTCAAATCGTATCGTTGGCGACGAAAACTGGCTTGCGAAACGTTTGTGGTCTTGTACTGGATTGACCGGACGGCCTCTGCCAAAAGAAGCGAAGAGGCGAGTCCCAGGAAAAAGTCGTGAAGAAGGAGGCATGATCGCTGGGACAAGAACTTTATTAGCATGAAATTTTGGATTCCCGCTCAAACCTTTCATTGGAGGCAAACGCAGATACGGGTGATTCATGCACAAGAGGCTACAGTATTTATCGGATGCAGTCGGCATGCCACCGCATACCTATGCATACTCATGGCTCCCCCCTTCATCAGGGATCGTTGTGCTTGGTGCCATCACTGTTTGTTAGCCGACATTCGCGTCGTTAATTGCTGCAATTTCATCACGTGTGTTGGATGTTCATGTGATGATTGCTCGACCATCTGACGCACTGACCCTGACGTCGGAAACAGCATTCACCTGTGCGCTCCCCGCGTGGCTAATTACTCCGCCTTGGCAAAGTTTCTGCACCGCTTATGAAAGAGGAAGGTGGTTGTACTTGTTGGTGGGCTGGTGGCCAATAAGCAACGACTCAAGCAGCTCCCGGCTTACGCACATGTCTCCTCTGGCAAGAATTTCGGTCTCATCCAATTCGCATGTATGCCAGGAGCTCATCGAATGGGCCGAAACTTAAGAGCTGGCATCATTTCTCCACACCGTTGCAGCGTGTTTGGCCATTCTCGTTCGGAGCTGTCTTCTGGTTTCTCCGACGTATTTGCTTTGTCCGCAACTGCACCGAATCCGATAAACGACTCCAGACGTTTGTAGCCGTAGCAGCGGGTCTTTCGATTTCATTATCTGACGCCTTATGGCTAACTTCGGCCAGTGTGCAATTTCAATCCCAAGTGGTGCGAGAGGGTGGCCGAGAGCTTCCGAAACTTTCTTGACATACGGAAGCGCTCGCCAAAATTTGGGGTCCGTGCAGTTTGGCCTTTCGTCACTTTTGCTTATACGTCTGCGCTTTGTCCGATTAAGGGCTTCCTGTCAGTCGTTTTTTATTGGATGACGCAACAAGTACTGATTTCCAGGGTAGATTTTAACTGACAATTTCAAACGCTGCCGAGGTAATTACTCCAAAAACTGACAGCCAGTTTTCTGGATTTTTTCAGGCACATCATGGAAATTGTTTTCCGTTAGGAAATCATTCCTAGGAGAAAGAAAGATAGTAGTCAACAGGTCTACATGCCTACATTTGTTGACATAACTATGGTTTTATGTGCTGTTCGCACGGGACTTTTTAGAGAAAGTATTTAAGTTCGAAATCTTAATTTCCATCCTGCAACTAGGACGAATTTTTAACCGGTGTCCTAATGTGAATGTGAATACGTTCGTCCGCATTCAGTGAAATGATAGCTCGTTAGCTTAATTAGTGAAGCCATTTAAATCATCCAGAAATGGCCCACAGGATGCCGTTTCAAACATCGAATTAGGCAGCACCTAGAGTGGCAAAGTTGAGAGGTCCCGGGTGGAAATTTGGAGAAAAGATGGGTTCGCCGGGATGAGTTTATTTGGGTGTTGACTTTCCGGCGAGCCTATCTTTTTATTAAAAGAACCCAGCGATGTAATGTTTGTGGATGATGACGGAAGTTACAGAAGCTGAATGTATTCCTGCAATAAGAGAAATAACCCCTTTTTCGCATGATGTTAGACCATCCCAGGTATATTTATTTGCTTTCGTGCTCCGTCTTACCAAAATTAATACCTAGCGGAGCGGTGAAATAAAAATCAATTTATTATACTACGGCCAACACTAGCAATTCCGTTCCAAAATTACAAAATAAGGCATCTGCTATATAAAATAACGCTACTTTATAAGCGAAAGTTGAAAACGGCCTACTAATCAGCAATCTCCTTTCAATTACTTAAAAAATACTTGTCAGTGCGCGGAAATTATCGATTTTTGAACAACGGATATAATATTGCATTATTACTGCTTATATTTTATAACACCAGGACGATTTAGAAAAAAGAATTTTTGGAAAAACTTTACTTCTTTTTGAAAACAATATGATGACTTTCATGTTAACCTCTTAGATATGCTGAGGCCAAAGTCAGGCGTTTAATGATTTCGATAAACACACTCCGTTTCAATCAGTATGCTTTGTCGAAACATGGGAGAATACATGCAGTAGTATCTAGGTCGGATATTAACATAAGAAGTTCCCTGGACATAAATGAACGTCTTCATCCGACCAAAACTGCAAATATTTTTGTTGATAATCAACTAATCTGCAGGTGAAGGCGACTTCTTTGCAAATACATAAAGGTAACATGCAAAAGGTACAACCCGAAAAAGTCAATTGAACATCTCCCACTCGCTAGTGACATCTAACACGCCATAAACTTTATACTTTTGAGTGACTCCGTCAGTCGTACCCAGTGTTCTCTCTATGACCGTGTGTTCGGGAGTGAATCAGCTACAACGACAAATAAAAGGCTCTTTCGGCGAATCGAATTTAAACGAACTAACACTCACATCTCAACAGTTTAGGTGCTGAGACTGTAGACCGTAAACACCTAGTCTCAAGAAAAAATGAAAACGAGCCTGCTTATGAGGGATAAAGGGTTGTCTGGCACCAAAACAGTCTGTCTTTGTTATGAGATTTTGGACGCGTGTAGTCGTGCATCGTCAGAGATAGCAGAATCACCAGAACACGCGGCATTTGTAGGGCGTACCGGCTAATCATCGATCGATGGCGCAGACTGGAAATGAATCCGCAGGGCTCTGTTCGCCGGTGCTAGATTGATAGCTCAACGATCGATTGAGTTCTCATACTAGGCTCGGGTTGCAATCAATTCTAGGCCTCCGATTTTGGCGTGGGAGATTATTTTTGCGCCAGATAGTTGAAACTCGTCGCCTCGTCGCACAGCCAGCTTATGTTTATGCATGCGCGTTCCAAGCATGGGTCCAGTCTGGCCTGTGTAGTTACATGGTTTATTTGCCTTAGTATAACAAATCTGGCAAGCAGAAGCCTGGGGTTGAATATAGTTCCTTTTATAGGTAAGGGTTAATCTGACAACGGCAAGTTCATTATACGCTAGAGGGCATGACTAATTGAAGACTGTGCATTGTGGGACGGTACAATTAAAATGTCCTTAGTTCGATTTACTTTATCTGAGGGAAATGTGGGTGTTGCATCTTTAAACCCCCCAGTTGTGACAAAGACGGGAAGGATGTAAAGAATTCGGAAAGCGGCAGCATTAAATACCTTCAAAAGAATTACGAAACAGATGCAGATAAACAAATAATTTCAAGTTGTAACGCTAAGTAATAAATTATACTACATGTATTGTACAGTAGTCTAGTTACGCATAACTGTGCTACAGAAAAATCGTCACAGTTTCAATTTTCTGAAGGAACCGCAGCAAATGCTATTATTCGCATGCAATATACTTGGGACAATAAAAATATAGGAAAAACAACCGCTACAGGCACATGGATATATATAGTATTCCACAACAGATTTTTAGAATCTTGCCGCAGAGTATTTAAGGAATGATGCAGAGATTGATTATATCCCCCGACATACCTTCTGTTTCTTAACCATTCAATATTTGCGTGCAGTACTGTAAGGCCGGAGCGAGAACTGCCGTTTTTACATGTATAACGCAGACAATTTCATCGACCTTGAACGTGTTCGTTGATTCCAATACGCCTTAGTTAGAAGCCCTTGAAATCGCGCAGTCCATTGCAAAATTAACGCAATTCGGTGGGATTCTCTTATAATGGATGAGAGGGGAAATAAAGACTGAATTTTTCATTCTCGCATGTCAAAAAATTACTCTTGAACAAACGAAAACAGTTTTGTTTTGACTAAAATTCAAAAAGGGTCGGAATGGAAGTCTACTTGGATTTTTTGCGAGCACTACTCTGAAATTAGTTACTGCTGGCAATTTGGCCGCTGGTCCACTACCAGAACTCAAATTTTGCATTCACTATGAACGAATTCCTTTTGGGCAGTTTATCTGTTCAGTTGATTTTCGCTCTTGCTTATGCCAACCGCGGCTCATAGGTTGAGCCGGTTTTCACGCAATCCGTTTGGTTTAAATGCACAGACTGGGTCAAATATCCGCAAACGCTCACACTCACTGAATTAAGTTTGCTCGAATACAAAGCTTATGGAGAGGAGCGATAGTATTGCCCATTAATTATTCGAAGTTTATATCATACAATCCCCTGTTAATATCTAAGATTTTCGCCACTTAGGTAATACACGGCAGACGATTAAACTCGGTTAATAACTATCTGAATTTTGCGAAAACGAGCAGATTAATGAGTGGGCTAAGACCCTCAATTGAGAACCTGCTCCTACATTCACGCCCTCAATTGGAGATAGTGGACATAAAAAAGGATATGTCTGATTCTAGTCTGTCCTACCATTCTCTGATTTTTTGTTCTATCGAGCAATAGGATCGAAGGTTTGGTCAATGCATGTGATTCCTGACGCCAATGACACTGAACTTTATGAAAAGATTGTGTTTATTACTACCTGACTTCAGCAGACTGTACCAAAGAAAATGTTTTGGACAAGACGTCTCCGCAGGCTACATATTAAATCCACGAGGCAAGGGATTAAGCAGAAAATACGGTTTGTTTGGCAGGAGTATGGTTTACGACCGGAATTACTCACTCCTGTAAGAATGTGTGTTAAACAGAAGAGCTAGAAATCTGACAACTGTATAGTGTCACAAATTTGGATCCTCCATATTA